GGGTGCTGTATCTTATGGGGACGCAAAGAAAATTTTAGGCCTATGGGGTAGTCCGTGAGGCTGTATTGTGTGAACCAGTTGCCTTGAAACCGCTCTGGATGTTAGATCATCTGGGCCATGGTGTCATCGGAGACCTTTCAGGGGTTCTTGGCTGGTGAAACCTGATGTATCTTAATCTGGAACAAATCCATAGCCTCTGGCTTTCTGTGGAAACAAAAGCAGAACCTCTTTTCCAAAGCAACATATCCTTAAATCCAAATTTTGAAGTCAAGGTACCTTTAAAATATACATATTGGTTTAATTCAACATCTTTTTTGATCAAATGTTTTTTTTGCAGTTAAAAATCCCAAAGACAACACAATCCAGATTCTCTGTGTAATATTCACCTTTACGTGGCTTTTTTATATTAATTTATATTTTTTGTCTCTTTCAAGCCTACGTATATTTTACACACATTATAAACGATTTTATCTGAATCAGTCTTATTGTGAATCTATTGCTTTAAACTGTAGTATTCTAAGACTGAAATGGCGCTGTGGCTTCTGGCTCCGCCCATTTCAGCTCACCAACATGACATTTTCCGCCAGTTCTGTGAGTCATCAAGTCTCAGAAATAGTGGGTCTAAGCTTTTATCAAAGCAGTGTAGCCCAGAAACCTTTTTTTTTTTTTTTTTTTTACTAATAAAGACTAAATCTACCACACAGCATAATGTGCCGCTGGCAGACACCTCATTCCCGCTATACTGCCGGTCAAACGCAAATGCCAGGAACCCGCCAGTAGTTCAAACCTGCATTTTGTGGTGTCTAGCTGCCCATATGAGACATGAAGCAGGAAACTGGTTTTGGCTCTGTTTAGAATTGGTTATTAAATATTCTCAGGTTTAAGGTGGAAACTCGAGCCATTGGGTGCCATTTGTTGCTGGAGGGCTTCTCTCCAGGTTCCACCAAGCCCCACAGTCCCACAATCCACGTATAAAATAATCACTCAGACACATAAACTGTATGGCCGTGGCAGGCTTCTTGCTAACTGTTCTTATATCTTAAATTAACCCATTTTTATAAATCTATACCTTGCCACATGGCTGGTGGCTTACCGGTGTCTTTACATGTTGCTTGTCCTGGCGGTGGCTGCAGTGTCTCTCCCTCCTTTTTCCTGTTTCCCCAATTCTCCTCTCTCCTTGTCCCACCTATACTTCCTGTCTGGTCACTGGCCATCAGTGTTTTATTTATATAGAGCGATATCCACAGCAGGGAAGAAAGGGGTTATTTGGTTTATACTTCCATATCATAGTCTATAACTGAAGGAAGTCAGGACAGGAACTCAAACAGGGCAGGAAGCTGGAAGCAGGAGCTGATGCAGAGGCCATGGAGGAGTACTGCTTACTGGCATGTTCTTCATGGCTTGCTCAGCCTGCTTTCTTACAGAACTGGGACCACCAGCCCAGGGATGGCACCACCCACAATGTGCTGGGCCCTCCCCCATCAATCACTAATTAGGAAAAAGTTCTACAGACTTGCCTACAGCCTGACCTTATGAAGGCATCTTCTCAGTTGAGGCTCCCTCTTCTCAGATGACTATAGCTTGTGTCAAATTGATATAAAACTAGCCAGAACACATCTAAAGCTATATTGAAAAAAAGAAACCTTACACCCAATGAAGGTCTTTTTTGTTGCTGTTATTTTGCTTATTTAGACTTCATAGGATATAAGGTCAGCTGACAAAGATATGTAGAATATAGCATTCTATTATCTATGGATTCAGAGTAATTGTGGCTCCTATTTCAAAGATAAATAGTTGACTCGATGATTATCAAACTGACCATCCACATAAATCTCTTGTAAAACTGTAAAAAAGAATAATCCCAGATTCTTGGCTTCTATTCTACACTCACTAAAATTGGTCTTTTGAGTGGGGCCTGAGACTCCATTATTCCTCCTTTTGTTGTCCCCCTCTCATATTTCCTCTCTCCTTTTTTCCTTCTGTTCATCCTTCCTTCCATTTGTTTTTAAGTTTTTTCAAATGTTGGTACAAACTGTTCAAGCCCCTGGGCATTTGGGAGCATTTGAAGAAATGGTTGCTTAGTCTTCAAGGTGTTTGCTGTGAGTTTGTTCCATATGGCTAATTTGAGATTTTCAAGTTGTGCTTCCTAGCCAAGAACAAGAGTTAATTCTTCTAGGTGGTCAATTCAAAGCAGAACAATGCACCTTTACCGTCAATGGGGCCAGGATAGGTTTGGCATCCTCTTACCAATACCATGAATCTAATTCACCAGGATGTGATTCCACATGACAAGTTACATAGTTAGCTTGGCAGCCACAGATAGCTCTGGGATCAGCCAAATTCTGTTTAGACAATAACTTATCATTTAGTTTACTATAACAGATGAAAGTGAGGTCAAGTCCCTGATCCCTTTTACCAGAGGCAAGAAAATAAAAAGGGTTTGGATTTGGATCTGGGGATTATAGCTCAGTGCTAAAGTATTTGTGCATCATGCTTGAAGCCTTGGGTTCCATGGACTGGGGCAGGGCAGAGGGGGAGAGAGAGACATTCTTAATAAGGGGCCTCCTATGAGTAGTACTACTTCCTGGCATCCTTTTTTTCATCCCTAGGATAAATAAATCACTTGAGAAATAAACACCAGAGAAATTGAAGGAAATAAACAAAGATTCAGGCGTATTGAAAAGAAAGCTTTTGGGAAGAGTTAATACATGAGCTAGGGCTTGATAAAATAGAAATACACAGGAAAATTTGGGGGGTTGATCTGTTTCTTAGGATAGGCATCAAGAGGGGAATATTTAAGAGGCATGAACAAAGTCTAGTAGAATTGTTAGTACAGGCTAACTTTCAGTAGGAAAACTAGTGCTAAAATGAGGTTGAGGGCATCAAAAGATTGGTAATATTGCCAGTGGATTTGTGAGCCAGTGCTCAGGGAAGACTTAGATCAACCACAATCCCAGAAGGCTTTCAGCCCATGCTATTCTATCCACTCTTTATCTGGGCTTCTAGAACTTAGACTTAATCCTGTTCTGTGTCCTAAGAATCACCTTGGAAGGAATGTAGGTAAGACTAAAGTACACCTGCCTTCAATATGCCATCTTGGCTACCTGTAGATTCTTCTTACTCAGAAGCTGCGTAGAAATAATACTCCTCTCACCTCGAATCCACCACTAACTACTATTTGTCTATTTACATCCTGGCCACTTAGCAAGATGTTACCAGTCATGTGGCTTATATGACCTTAATATGGTCATGGTTGCCAACCTCTTCTATCATCTCAAATAAAAATAATGCTGAGTTGTTTAACCGTTGTCTTGCCTCTTTTAGTTTTTCATTTGCATACTTGACTGTAGCCTGCCATTTTGACTGCATCTGTTCCTAATTCCCTTGCCCTCTGTAGCATTCAAAAAGAAAAAACCCAAAGGAAACATTATTAGAAATTTGTCAAGAAGAGAAGAGAGGAGAGAATATTTCATAAGGCAATATAACTTCAGAAGTGATTAGTGTCCCACTTTGTCTATAATGTGGGGTAAAAAGAAGAAAGCTCACCTGAACATAACACCAGGAAAATGGATTAGAGCCAGACTGCAAAGGTCTTGTATGACATATTAAGGTGTTTGCTCTTTGTATTGTAGTCTACTGGGGGCAGGTCATGGAAGATGTTTAAGTGGTGGTGCACATTCTGAGCTGGCTGAGTTGTAAAAAGATCACTTTGGTGGTAAAGATTGGAAGCAAGGAGACCAATTAGGAAACAAATCTTGCTGGCAAGGGTTGATGAAAGTCCTGATCTAAGGTGTTGCTGTGGGAATGGAATACAAGGACAGATCTGAGATCAGTTCAATCAGACCCTGCTGACTTTTCAAATATAAGGCATTGTGGAAGCGCTGAGAGAGATAAGTCTAGCTTGGGCAATTTGGTCGATGGTACAACAATTAATCATAAAGAAACAGGTTTTGTGAGACATTTGCTGTGCTCAATTTCAAACAGTCACTGTGAAGACACTGTGAAACATTCAGATAGAGATGCCCAGTGAATAACTGGAAATTAAACTAATTGTCAGGGTGAGGCCTGTGCAGATTTAGTAATAGAACTCTTAAGTACAACCACTGTGTTATAGAACTCTAGTTTGGGGCATCACATATATACTGTAATATGAATAGTGACACTTTGGAAGAAGATTCCCAATATTTGGTGGTAATTGAAACCATGAATAGAAATAAGATAATTTAGGCAACTTGTTATAAGTAGTTTCAAGAGATGGGATAAAAGTAGAAGGCTATGGATATAGCTGTGGGAACCAGCTGTTAGGTGGGATGCTCTGGCCATATTGTTGAGGGGTTTATTGTCTATGATTGTCTTTCTTCCCCCAGTTCTCGGCTGAGTAAGCAAGGCTAATTTAGGGCTGATCAACAGGCTGAGCAGAGATGGGTTGTTTTTTTAAGACAAAGGAGGATTTATCTCTTTCATGGTACTTCCCCTGCCTTCTTGCTCTTCTTACCAGTAGTGGTAATCACAGGATGTAAACTGTGGTCTTGGGCCAACTGCTCTATTATATCTACTCTCTCATAGTCTAGTACTCAAAAGATGTTTTAGCACCTGAAAGGTGGCTTTATGGCTAGAATAGTGGGTTCTCTAAACCTTCCCAATCTAGGAGAATGGAACTAAATGCAATAAAACATCTGAGCAGAATAATTTCCCACTAATAATCAAGTGACTTTTTTGGCGTTAGCCCTTTTAGTCTTAATTTCAAGGGCTTCATTGACATCTTTGTTTTGTCCTCAGTTCTCAAGGAAAACTTCCTGGAGATGAGAGCTGAGGCCACAGGTATGTTGTTTCTACCCTTCATTACAAAACATTGTTCAAATAAGCCCCTTTCATGGTATCTAGGATTTTGAAGACTAGAATACTATACAAGTCCAGAGGGTGGGGACTTACTCCAGGCCTCAGTTCACTACCCTAAAATTACATTTCCCTTCATTTGTGAGGTTTTGTATGATTTGAAGTCCTCTTTCTCCTCTGTTCCCCCTCAGCTACATTATTTTAAGATTGCTTTGCAACTGAATTCAGTGGAAATCCCAGGCTAGATATTTTGCCTAAGCACATTTTCTTTGCCAAGTCTCAATTTCTGTTTGTAAAATGAGATGATGGAACTTTCTGACTCTGCCATCCTTTGAGTCTAGAAGGCAACCAGCGACCTCCCTTTTGATATTATAACAAATGCCAAAGGGTCTATAGTCATACCAAGGGTCATACCAAGTCACTATGTCAGTTCTTCCCACCTGAACCATCATCTTTAGTCCTTTATGTTTTTTTAGTGCGTGGAACTTTCATATCCATGATCTCATTTGATCCACATCACATGCCAGAAATGAGGATACTATGTGTTCTAACTCAACAAACAAAGGAACTTAAGTTCAGAGGGGATAAGTGACTTGCTAAGGTCACAGGAGACTTGGGGGTCAGGGAAATGGCTTTCTCCGCGTAGGACTTTTGATTGCTTGGTTATCAGATCTCTGGCATGACATGAACCAATATGCACATTAATGAGGCCCAAGTATCTGGAGTTTGGCTTGCCATGTGCTCCTTAGCCTTCTATTTTTTCCTGTCACTGCCAGTCCTGCATGGCCTAGCGATAGATAAGTCACTCCTTATCAGCCTTAGAAAGGAAGTTTGGAGATACTGAAAGGACCACAAAGGCAGTGGCTACAATGCAAGGGAGTACAGTGGCCGGCACTCTCAGAAGTTCTAGTATCAGGATTTGCTTCCCCTGTAGATAGTTTTTTTTTTCTTAAGGAATTGGAGGTATGGTCAAAGGCACAGTCTCTAGTCCTAATTATATCAGCCTTGAGCCTGTTGCTTGGGGTCTGAAGTGCAAAGTCCCTTTTCCAGATCAGGTACCAGTTATAGGGTAAGTAACTAGAGAGACCCAACTGCTCAATACCTGTTAAATATTCACCCAGGCCCACCTAACTCCCTACTTTTTTCTTTCCATTTCAGGTTTGAAAGGACTTGGCCTTGAGGGACCCTTTCCAGGTCGTGAAAGGGTCCACTTCAAACCCTTGTGAGCTATTTGGTGCTGAAGAGCAGTTCATTTCTGGCCCTTGTGCCTTCAGTGTCTGGGAAGCTATAAAATAAGGAGCACATGTCTTAGACACGTGTTTGTTTCTCCTTTGTATTCTGTCTTCATCTCCCCAGAATGTCTGTTGTGAGCAGCTCCTAGGATACTGGATGGCTGGATTCTCTCAAGCTCCAAACTCTACTGAAGTGAAAATACCCACTGACCTGTATTAAAGAGGGAAACCTAGTTTTCCACTCTTCTCTGAACTTACTGTTTCCTCAAAGGTCATTGGACTCTGAATGATTCAGGGCTAAAGCCTGATGTTAGGGGTCTCACCCTGATCTAAAGGCCACTTGAGTTGGGGCCATTGTTTACCTTATTTGGAAGGGAGTAGGGATGTTAGCTGAATATTGGAAATTGTGTCATGTCTCTTTCTGAAGATATGGACACTGACTAGTACCAGATTGGCACCCTGGTACCATGACATGTTAATGAAATCCAGTGGGGCCAGACTGCATGAATGATTCCCACACAGTGGCCTTCCTCAGGATGGCCTTAGGAAGGTAGCCTTTCTGCTTTTGCCTCTAGCCTCTGAGAACAAATCTGCTAAGCATGTTTTGCATGTCAAAGCCTAGGCCTGTCTGGATTTCCCTTTTTCCTACTTTCACCCAATAGCTTCCTTTTCAGCAATCAACAAATAAAACAGAAAATGTTTCTGTAAAAAAGGGTCAAATGTTAGGAAAAATTGTTAAGATTGACTGAGTCCAAGGAATTGTTGCTATTGCTTCTTATTTGCTTCTATCTCACATGCTCTTTTATTTCCTGAAAAGCAAGCAAACAAACAAAGCTACAAACAAACAAAACCAGATCTTAGCCAAGGTGCCTGTGGATTCTGGAACTCTATGATGCCCCCAAGATGACATATACAATTCCGTGAGGGTAATGCCTTTTCTGAGCAGATGGTTCATAACATTCTACTGGGTTTCAGATGGTACTACAAACCAATAAAGGTTAAGAACCACAGCCCTTGAGATAAAAGACTCTTTACAGCCCATAAAGGGTTGGATTAGAAGGAACTTTCAAACGCATTTATACTAACAACAGCTTAGTTTACATGAAGAGCAAGTTAGTGACCACAAGAGGACAAGATCCCAGGTGTCTGAGCTCCTACATAAGGTTCTTTTTAGTACAGCACATTTATCTAGGAAGGGGCCTTGTAGGTGGTGGCTTTAATGGCTCTTTTGGGAGGTATTGGCTTTTATCCTCTTTCTTGAGCCTCTCATATTTGCCAGCAAGTAGAAAATGTCAAGATATAAGCCGCTGGTCCTTTCATTACTGCTGGAGTCATTGAAAGTGCACTAAAGCAAAAGCCATGCAGGAAGTATGAAATCTGAGGACTAAACCTTTTTGAGCCCTGTTTTTTAGGGTGTTGGTGCTTCTGTTTCTGTGCAGATGCCTGGGCCACAGCCTCTGCGGCTTGCAGGACTCTTATTGAGTTCTGGTGTTAGGGCTGGATCTTCTCTTAGGGCTGGATCTTCTCTGTTATTGAGGGAAAAGCAAGGATGTGTGTAGAACTTGGCCACAGGTGTGAACCAGAAGGGCTTCACATCCATGAAAGATTATAAATACAGTTTGAGTCTGGTTTTCCTGAGACAAAATGCCATGGTAAACACTAAAAATATTAGAATATTCTTCAGAGGCAGGGAAAGACATTGCACTCCCAGTGGAAGAAGTATCTAGAAACTTTGCACCATGATTGCTGAGTTATGTGGGACATGGATAAAAACTCAGCTGGGAAAGGTGGGGCCACCAACTTTGGAGGCCAGGGAGCAATTGGTGGGGTAGTTCTACTTCTGTATCAACTCCCTTTAGACAAGGAAACAAAGTATCTCCTTTTACTATCTGCTATAAAGAGCAAAATTGCTGGGGTGAAGCATACTGTCATGAGATGAGATTGTCTTGGGGTATGCTTGATGCATAAAAGAGGTGATCAGAAGAGGTGATATGTGAAGGGTAACTATGGGAAATTAGCAGCAGCCCTAGCAAGTAGGTAAGAGAACTGTTAAGTCTTCAACCGATAGTGATGACAAAAGTGCTAACATTTAGTAAGCACCCGCTGAGTACTAGGTACTTCAAATACTTTATCTTCCATCCTTATAACAATCATGCAAGTCCTCATCTTTTTGTACAGACTAAGAAGGTACCCAGTTGCATTGTTGCTGACTGTAATAGTACACAGACATAGTGAGTCCTAGAAGTGTAATTTCTATCCAGTCCTCTCTGACTTTGCACCCTGTGCAGTTTTCACTATGCCATTCAGAGCTAGGTATTTAAACAGAGGGCGCATTACAGGAGGTGGGTTGACTCTCGACTCCTGTGTGCCTAACCAATATGGAAAGGAGAGCGAGGGAAGCAAGTGCAAGCCCACTTCAGAAGGGAGTAAGAACACAGGCTGAAAGATAATCAAATCCATGGTGGCTTTTCTTCTCACTCTGAGTTGATCCAACTGGTAATATGTTTTAGAAGATCATCTAACCTCCCCTTGTGACGTGAGGAATTCGTTACAATTGGTAGCCGGGAATTATTTGCCTTGGTCGTTTTCCAAATAGAAAGGGTCCTTCTAGGTGTCGCTGTGCTTTCCCAGGACATCACTATGCCATTACATGGACGGTTTCATCGAGAAGTCTGGTGATAAGCATGCATGTTTTAAGAAGCAGGCCAATTCTCTGTGCCTTTGTGGAATTCGATGCCCTGGGGTCATATCCCTACCAAGTTTTTTCTGTGGTGAAAACAAAAGTCCGGGGATCATTTCATAAAAGAAATTTCATTGAATTTTTATATTTCAAGTTGAAAAAGAGGTGTTATGGAGTATCCAGCCACCACAGGGCAAAACTAAGCATTCAAGTAAGTAGCAAAATAATGTTATGTAAGAGTACTTCGGAAGTAATGGCTACAATAGGGAAGCACCTTTCCCTTTTCAAGACGTTCCTTTATTCTGTAAGAACTACAAAAGAGTAAAGGAAGTAGTTCGGCAACTCATAAAATAATTGCTTTTAAGAGAACATAGATCAGTGAAGCTGTTAATAAAGAAGCAGTAGACAGTTGACCTTGACACATTAGAAGACTACAAAAGCTTTAGAAACAACAGCAACAGAAAATCCAGAGTGAAGCAAGATAACTTGACAAGATATTGTCAATGAAGAAAAGCCTTCATTTTCATAGGGAAATTGACTATATGAACTATGTGTGTGAAATCAGAGAAAAGAATGAGATCCCTGAGCCCATTCACGTGATTTTCAATGAAGTGTGTAGATTCTCTTGTATAAATGTCCTCTATCTGCTATCTCATCATGGAAATAATCTCTCAGAATATCAGAATCATGGTCCACCCACTATCTACCACTTGTGCTGTCTTGTAAAAAAAAAAAATCTAAAGAGAACTCGGCAAAAAATATTTTGAACCCAGGACTCTTAATCTATTCTCCACTTTGCAACATAGCTTTGCCATTCTGTCAGGCCTCATAGCATCAATAAGTGATAGCTGGCAATTCTGTCTTATAGATAAGGAAACTTGAGGCACAGGGAGGTGAAAATGACTTGCCCATAAGATACTAGAAAATTGATAAAAATCCAAGATTGGAAACTACAGATGGCTTTCTGTTTACCACACTGCCCCAAAATAATAGTGAACACAAATCCCAGGGCCAGAGAGATGACTCTGTGTTTAAGAGTACTGGTTGCTCTTCCAGAGGTCCTGAATCCAATTCCTAGCACCCACATGGCAGCTCATAACCATCTATAAGTGTAGTCCCATGGGATCCAATGCCCTCTTCAGGTGTGCAGAAGTACATGCAGATAAAACACCCATATACATAAAATTCATAGATAAATACATATTCAAAAGAAAATGAACCCCAAATGTAACTGGAGATGTTTAGAAATAGGATTAATGAAAACATCATTTTCAGCATTAGCATTACCTAGAGACTTGTTAGAAATGCAGATTCTTAGGATCTACCCTAGACATCTGGAATATGAATTTGTATTTTAACAAGACCCCACAAGAGAATTCTATGCACATTAAAATTTTAAGAAACACTTGGCTAAGTCTGATCTAATCTGTTGAGAGTCCATAACGTCCTGCTTCTTGCATTGTTTTGCACGTGGCCTGTAACTGTGTTGACAAGTGAATGAAGTTCCTCTATGTCCAAGAATAGCAGAACGAGTCTGGGGAATAAGCAGACTGAACGTTACTTGGCTGTCAGACTGTGTAAAGGAAGCAGTAAGACAGCGTGGCAGTTGGAAGGAACTTTTCAGGAGCTCTGTGGTCAAGACTCAGCTCGGTTACTTCCTCCCTGAGATGCTGAGCATGTCATTCACATTGTCTACCTTTTGCCTCAAAGGATCTTTTCAACTTTTATACACAGGCCATGATGTAATGGAAGTGGACAACTCTGCTGGTCTTTGGCCAGTTTAGCATCTTCATTTCTCATAAGAAAGGCAATACTTGGAGGACATTTTAATCACAGCAAAGCGGTGTTAACAGAAATTGCAAAGAGCAGGAGGAACATAGCTAGTTAACCGGCTGGAAATTAGTTAATTTTCCAATTACAGTGTAACAAATAAGGCCGAGTTCTGAGATTCAGCTGCTGCAGGCCATATACTCGATGAATCAACTCGTATTGCATGATTTAATAAAAACAAGATTCCTTGCTTCAGGCCTTTTTGGGGGATGGTGGGAGGAGAAACAAACAAAGGGGAATTTCCTGCTTTCCATCATCTGCTTCTTACCTCTCCAGGTGAGTCGAACACCCATTATTTGAGAGACACTAGCTACAAGGTAACTTCTTACACATAAACTCAGAGAGGGAAAAGGACTTGCCTAAGGTGGCACACCACAGCCAAGGGTAGAAACTAGGTGTTCGTAGTACCAGCATACAGGACTTTCCTTGGGTGATCTGTTTGCCAGAGTCTAGTCAAGACACCTGCTCCCAACAGCAGGACAGCCCCACCGAGGAAGACTGCTATATCTGTCATCTGGGAGTTTTGTTTCTGTCATACATCCACAAGCACTGCTTCGTTTGAGTCATGCACAGCCCTTATCACCTTATCAGAGCAGGTGTGATTTTTTTCCCATTTTCTTAATGCTCAGAGGGGTATCATAGCATAGGAAGCAGAATGACCCTTTGGTCTTTCAAATCCTCTCATGCTGTGCTATTTCTCTAGGGGAGAAGAGGCAGGCCTGCAGCCCCTTAGTCTTTTTCCTGGGGCATATCATGAGCTCTAAGTTGTTATAGTTTGGGTTGTAAACCTAGACTTTAACAGCTGAGCTATCTCTCCAGCCTGAGCCCTAAATTCTTAATTGCTTCAATTTCATTGTTTCAAACCAGATTGATTATTTTTCCTGTTGGAGTACATAGAGTTTCATGATTTGAAATTTTGCAGAACAGTCTTGGGTTCTTTCCATCATTTTGTCCTCACAACAGCCACTTCAGGGGACAAAGTAGTATTTCTCAATTTGACAGATTTGGGCAACTTGAAATACAGCAGCACAGTATTAGTATTTATGGCTGTTATAACGAATTATCACAAATTTAGGGCTGGAGAGATGGCTTAGAGGGTAAGAGCACTTGTTGCTCTTCCAAGGGACCTGGATTCAATTCTCACCACACACATGGTGGTTCACAACTGCCTATAGTTCCAGGGGATTTGACTTCCTCTTCTAGCCTCTGAGGGTGCCAGGCAAGCATGTGGTGCATATATATATATATATTGCATAAAAATATATCCAGGTTTTTAATTATCAAAAATTTAGCACTTCATCATCCATTTATTGTCATCTCACTTTTTCTGTTGGTCAGAAGTTTTCCTATAGAATAGTTCAATTTTCTGAGTGGTTATCATCTGAGATATACAGCTCTCTTTTAAGTTCAATCAAGGTTATTAGCATAATTTAGTTTCTTCTGAGAGACTGAAGTCTTCAGGGTTTTTTTGGTTATATATTTAAAAATTTTTGACATACAATATGTTTTGATTATATTCTTTCCCCTTCCCTAACGTCTCCTAGATCCTCCCCATCTTCCAGCCCACCTAATTTCATGCCCTTTCTCCAAAAAATAACATAAAACAAAAAAATCCAATAAGACAAAAATATAACAGAACAAAAACTCTCTCCATTTTAAAGCCACCTGCCCCAATCCTTCTTGAATTGTTTCTTCTGCTTTTTTTTTTTTTGCTTCCTTTTTTTTGCCTCTTCTGTTTAGGGTTCATTCCATAACAACGATTAAATCTACTAAAATCAGAATTTTCTCCATATCTTAATATCTACATCAGCCTTAATTACATCTTAATTTTTTTTTGTAATGAATCAGTTTGGGGTATGGAATTTTCTTAGGGGACATAATGGATACTTGCACAAAGCATGAAATAGCTACCTACATAATCCCTGCCTTGCAGTTTTCCTAAAGATATGAGGTGGTAATTGTATTTTTCCATTGTCATATCAGTTGGCTGTGACAGTAGACACTTGTCTATTAAATGAAACTCTGTTTATAAATTCTTTGAATTTGCCTTCATAACATTCTTATGAGGTACCCATTAGCATTAGCCCATTTTATAAAGGAGAAAACTGAGGCACAGAATGTTATAACATTTAACAAGTTCCCACAGTCAGGATATAGTGAATTCAGGATTCTAATCCAGATCATTCTTTTTACTATATACTGAGAAAATTCTAATTTATCAACCTAGAAAATTTCAATAGTGAGGAAATAGAGGCAAGTTTGATTTGAAGATTGTTCTGGGCTTGTTCCCTGTGTCCTTACATTTTGATAACACAACTAATACGGATGATATTCTTGAAGACTTCTGTTAAATTTAGAGACTTGCTAGGTTTTATATGGCAGAGTGAAGGTGCAGTCTTTTTGCAAAGGCTCAGAGGTGATAGTCTGTGATGGGTAAAGTCAAAATGGAGTACCAGGGCTGTGTTCTTGAGCAGTGTTTCTACTTGAAGGCTTCCCATTAAATATGGAACTCTTCCTGTGTGCAGTCTGTCACTGTAACAAACACCAGAGATAATCACCTTTGTTTTGTCTCAGTTTTAGGGTTTCCAGTTCACGGTCATTTCGACCTATTGCTCTGGGTGAAACAACATGGGGGCGGGAGGAGCACATGGCAGAGCCAAGCCACTAAACTCACAGTCATGCAGCAAAATAGGACAGAACAGGAAGAGGCTCAAGTCATACTCTGTTCATCAAAAGTACACCCTCAATGACATGGTGACTTCCCATTAGTTCCTACTTATAAAGCAGCCGTCACTTCCCAACAGTGTCATAATGGGGACCTAGCCTTTAACGTGGGCCTTTGGAGGCCATTCCATATCCAAAGAGAGTACACTCCATTTCGGTTAATTTCTTGGGACTCTATAAAGTCTGACTATGTGGGCCCTTAGAATCCCCACCAAAATGCCACCTGGAAGTAAAGCTGAAAAGAAGGTTTTGTAACTCTGACAGTGAAGCTACACAATGACCTTTCTCCAGGCCCACCTTTTCCTCTAGTATCGGCAATCCTACATTTATTTCTCTGGTTTCTGCTTCCCCAGCTACTATTACCCAAAGTACTGGACAGTGCCATCCTATGGTTAATCCCAGACACATCATGATGTGAGATATTGGGACCTCAGTCGTGACTGTCATCTCTTCCTTACACTTATTATTAGCCTCCCACTTCTAGGCCTGAGATCTGGCAGACTCAGTTACACTGAGTACCTCTATTACTCCCTGACTTCTTTTCTAGACATTACAGTCAGACTCTAGCATTTACATTCCCACCCCTAGAAGCAGTGTAAATAGTGTTCACACGCACACACACACACACACACACACACACACACACACACACACACACACACACACACACCATAGAGCATAACCTTTGGCTTCAGTACTCATGTTTCTCTGGATTTCCATGATTAAGAGTAACAGGCCTTCTGTGGTAGCTCCTCCTCCACAACCAAGCACTGGGCTGAGCTCCTAGACTTCGTTGAAGAGAGGATCACAGGAGCAAGTGAGGTCAAGATCATGATGGGGAAAACCACAGAGACAGATGACCCAAGCTTGTGGGAGCTCATGGACTCTGGCCTGTCAGCTGGGGAACATGCAGGGCACTGGACTAGGCCCTTTGAATGTGGGTGACAGTTGTGTGGCTAGATCTGTTCAGGGAGCCTTTGGCACTGGAACCAGGACTTATCCCGGATGCATGCAATGCTTTTTTGGAACACATTCCCTAGGGGAGGATACTTTGCCCAGCCTTGACACAGTGGGAGGGGCTTGGTCCTGCCTCAACTTAGTATTCCAGGCTCTGTTGACTCCACAAAAGGGGCCTTACCCTCTCTGAAGAGTGGATGGGCGTGGGATTGGGGGGAGGTAGGGGGACTGGAAAAGGAGAGGGAGGAGGAACTGGGGTTGGTATGTAAAATAAAAATTTAAAAATAAATTAATTTAAATAAATGAAGTGTATACCAAGAGTAACAGGCCTCAAGATAGACTATATGATAGGAATTCCAACCATGCCCCCGTGGTCACGCATGCCTGGCAGGACACTTAGTCATTTCCACCTAGTTATTTCCGGGTCATACATCCTACATAACCCATGCCCCGCGGCTGTGTGGTCACATAATTGCATGGCACAATCACGTGATCTATGCACATGTGTGGAGTAGCCATGTGGGCCTATGTGTGCAGGTGCGAGCTGGCCCTTAAAAGACAGGCCCCATTTTCCCCTGCCCCCTTCACACATATGCCCTTCCACAGGCCTGATCATGTCTATCCCTTTCTCCTTGTCTGTTTTTTTTTAAATTTTTTTCTTTATTAAGAAATTTTATACTCATTCCACATACTATCCACAAATACCCCCTCCTTACTCCTCCCACCCCCCAGCCCTCTTTCCCAAGCCATCCCAAATCCCCACATCCCCCAAATCGAGAGATGACCTGCCACACTAGTGGAAGCCCATGAACTGTGGACTGGTGGCTGTGGAGCCCCCATGGGACTGGACTAAGCCCTCTGGATATGGAAGACAGTGGTTTGGCTCAAACTGTTTGGGGGGCACCCAGGCAAGGGGATCGGGATCTGTCCCTGGTCTATGGGCAGGCTTCTGGAACCCGGTGCCTGTGGTGTGACACCTTGCACAGCCTTGGTGCAGTGGGAAGGGGCTTGGACCTGCCTAGGCTCAGTGTGCTGGGCTCTGCTTTCTCCTTGTCTTAATAAAATTCTTGTTTATAGATTCTGTCATATTTTGTGACTTTTCCTTGCAGGGTAAGAGCGCCGCAAAACAATCATCAGTGGTGCCATGATGCCTAGTAGCTGCCACTGCAGCAAGTCATTGTCACTCAAATATGTGTTGTCAGTCACCTATTTGTCAGTATTAGTCATTATCAGCATTATCAGTGGCAGTGCTGTTTCAGTAGCTTTCCAGGAATGGAGTCTCCTCTACATCTAACCTAGATCAGAGCACTGAGCTATGCTACACAAGGAGACATTCCTAAGTGCTGACCACTACCCAGTCCATTGATTCTTACGTGTTTTAACCTGACTCAAATGGAAAATTTCCTGTCTCTCAGCCCCTCACTAACTATTCTGACTCCTACCAAGCTGTGTCTCTATATGCCCATAGCTAGGTCTGTTTGTTTGTGCTTTTCTACCATGCAGAGGTTTTCTGTTCATAACTCAGGCTCACCTAATTGGCCCTGTGCATTTGCCAACAGTGAGACCTTGAGGATTCTTATGTTTTTAAAATTTGACAAGGGCTGCTTTTCGTTGCAGCTCAGCTCCTGGTGGTGTGGCATGGGTGCCTTCAACCTCCTGACCATCCCACCTGCTGTCCTGGGAAGTAACTCAGTTCCCCACACTCCATTGCTTTCTCCTACATTTTGCACTCCTGCTGTCCCAACAGTTGTGCAGTGGAGTGCATGAACAGGCACGCAGGAAGGGGGCAGCTGTGTTCTGGAGAGGAGAAAGGAGATGAGAAACAGTGTACAACTGGTTCATTTCATCCATAATTGGAAATTAACCTTTGACTCTTGGCTAAGTTACATCACATTATTTTTCCTGAAGTGAAAATGACATCACAAAATGCTTTAGGGAGTGAGTCTAAATATAATGTAAATGGATTATAAAAGCTCTAGGAAAGAAGCACAGACAAACCAAAGAGCTATGCCAGTTTCCATTGTGACAAAGGAGGTGGACTACTTAGCTCTGACATAAGGACACTTGATGATAATAAGACACAGAGCTTCTGAAGCTGTTCTACTAGACTTCAGAGTCTTGACTGAAACAACCTGCAAGGAGGTAGGCTACTCTGTAATCAAAGAAAGGAAACAAATATCACTAAGTACTGCTTATGTTCCAAACCTGTAGTGGGAGAAGCTTCAATCCTTGGAACTTCCCAGTACTCTGGGATTACAGTTAGAAGTGTAATTTGGTGAAAGAAAATACTATCATGTTCATGTGCATGTATGTACATGAGAGAGAGAGAGAGAGAGAGAGAGAGAGAGAGAGAGAGAGAGAGAGAGAGAGAGAGAGAGAGAGAGAGAGAGAGAGAGAGAGAAGAGTTTTATTTGAGCATCTTGCCACTTCATTTTAGTCCCATCTTACACATGAAGAGATGAGATTCAGAAAAATCCTTACTTGCTCAAAGTCACAGTAAGTAAATAGTGAAAACCAAAGTAGAAGTAAAAGCCTATGGGGCTCCTGAGGCTACAAAAAGGTTTCCAATGCTGAAAACTCCTGTTGTTGTGATAAAATATCCTGAGAAAAGTGACTCAAGGAAGGGTTATTTTGTCTCACAAGTTCGGGGTAGGGAAGTCACAGCATAGATGCTTCAGGCAGTTGATCACATTGTATCTGTGGCCAGGAAGCAGGAGTGATGATGCAGCTGCTAAGCGTTCCCTTTTTGATTTGGTCCAAGACTCTAGTCCAAGGGATGATGCTATCCACATTTATGGTAGGTCTTCCCATCTCAGCCCTGTCTAGAAACTCTCACACAGACAAGCCCAGATATTCATCTCATATGTTATTCTTTTAGTATTATCAGAATAACCAATGTCCCCCAAGCTAAGTGTTGGACTTATGATGGGAAAGAAACTTATTTGTGTATGCTGTACTGCTGAAGTTGGACCATGGGGGTAAATTAAATATGTGGTTAGTGCCTGAAATAAGTTGAGGATGGGAGATGTATAGGGCACCTTTGACCTTGTGTTTGGAAAAGATGCTCCCTTCTCAAGATAGTTAATGAGCATCTGCTAGAAAACTCTTAAATACATATGTAGCTCTCAGAAATCCAAGAGACATCTCTAAATGTGAATATCACAATGGTACTCCTAGTTCCTGGCAAGTGTCCAGGAAAACATCTAAGAATTAGAAGAGTCTTTTCCTATGTGACTTAGGAGTTCTGAAACCTAATTAATAAGAAAGGAGTTTTGAATTTCTAATTCAAATGAGAAAGCTGTTAACATTATTCAACTCCCTGATAATTTTAAGATGATAATTGTCAGCTGAGAGAAAATGT